ATCGGCACTATACGGAGCGGCTGCAGTCGGTTGGGACAGTTTTCCGCTCCCACGATTTCACTAGTACCTCCTATAAATCATCCACAAGAGCAGGTCCCTCGAATTTGAAGAGCGCTGGAGGAAGGTCGTCTGGTTTCGCGGCTTTGTTTAACTTCAACAGTCCGATCTCACCTTCGACTTCTTAGGGAGAGAGTGGACCCAAAGGGACATGCCACGGAGCGGGTCGGCCATTGGCCGGCGATTCCGGTCGATTAAATTGCTTCTCGAAATGCTCAGCCTTACGCCCCAAGTGTTTTGACAAACTATGGATCGGCTGTCCACTCTCGTCGCATATGGCCTGGCTAACACCAGGTCTCCTGCTGCCCGTTAACCGTATCAGACGAAATAACTTTCGTTGATCACCAAGGGCAGCGGCCATTTCCATCTTTGAAGCACGATGAGACCACCAGGATTCGCGGTCTCTCTTCAGGCTAGCACGGAGTTTTGCCCGGAGCTCTTTGCTGGTTTCATGGTGTTCGCTTCCAGTCGGAATATGCCGACGAGCATCGATGTGTTCCAGACTGCGAAGAGACCCAATGTCATACCCTAACACTACGTAGTCTACTTGGACAACATTATTGTCCAGGGCAGAACGGAAGAGCATAACAAAATTTTGGCACTTGTCTTAGACTGCCTTGTGCAGTTAGGGTCAAGACTGGAACCCCCTAAATGCCAGTTCCCGAAGAAGCAAGTGACCTATCTAGGACCCAAGCAAAGTCGAGCGCGTCAGTCTCTACGAGTTTTAACGAACTCCGTAGCTTCTTTTGCCTTACGTCCTACTATCGACGTTTTGTGCGCGGATTCGCAACTATTGCCACTCACTTGAGAGGAACTGCGGCAAAACGCTTTTGAGAAACTGAACCGCCTTGTGCGAGGCACCCGTGTTAACATCTCCAGACATGCACCAATCCGCAGGGCCGTTCATCTTGAATACGGATGCCAGCAACACGGGTATTAGAACAGTTCTATCTCCACACACATCCGACGGCACCAGACCGGTTAGCACATACGCCAGCCGATGCTCATCGCAACGAGAACGCGAATATTGCACGATGCGAGAAAAAAGTTCTAGCTTTAGTATTCCTTGCTAAGCAATTTTGGCATTGTGTCCTCGGTCGCGAATTCATCGTACGTACCGATCATCAGTCATTGAGTTGGCTCCAAAACTTTCGGGATCTCTAAAAGTCAACTTGCGTGTTGACAGGAGCAACTACAAGTGTACGAACTCGAGTCCCAACATTGCCCAAATTCGAATATGCTAATGCTGATGCTCTGTCGTGTAGATCAATCGGAGACCATGGACCATGTCATCCTTGCGCTGCTGCTGTTCTCCTTGATGCATCTGAAGCGGACACGGTAGCTATGCACGCGATAGATACAGGGCATGATATCGACTTGGATTACGTCAAAATCGTCAGAAGGGGGTTGCGATCAACACCCCAGACGCTGACTGCTGAGGCGGTTGAGATTGGCAAAACTGCGTGAACAGAATGGACGGGGCAGAGCTTTCGAGTGTGTGGCCAGCTGTGTTAACCCGACCAGTCTGAGGAGCGTCGGCGGACGGATCCAGGGCAGAGAATGAACATCACATCATCCCCGCACCCATAGTTAACAGGGCTTACGTGCGTGACCTTGTAACGCGGACCACTTGTGCTCGTTCCATGCACTATGTGGAGTGATGCGTTGACCTATAACGCGATTTACCTGCATACATCCTGTTCGTCTCGATTATCATCCCAGTTCGCTATAAGTGCCATATCAATCCTCTACTGGTTCACTCGGCCTGGCGAAGCTTTTGTGTGAAAAGCGAAACGTTGCCTACAAACTATACCAACCGGTTGTTTTCAAATCTTTCTGAAATCATAAGTTCTCGATCGGTTCCAAGTATTCTCCAAGAGGTTGAAATTTTCATTGGTTTTCATTCAATTTAATGCCACCTTACAGGGGTCGTTAAGTATGCAAGTGATTTGGTTGCTTAATTGCACCAACGTTGGATAGCGCAATTGATAACACCTACATCACGAAGCTGGAGCTTTTCTGGGCTGTCATTTCTGATGGGCCAATACCCATCGAGTTAAACACAACTTTCTTATCAGTATACAACCAACTTTCATGTAACACAGTGCGTCATTTATTTAGCTGCGCCGCTGCATAAGTGCACTGTAGTCGGAAATTTTACCAAGAAGCGGGTGCATTTTACAGGAGTGTCAGTGAGACTTGCGCTTTGTCGATAGAGTAACGACTGAGACCAGATTGCCAACCACCACGATTCTTTCGCCTCTTTCCAAGATGATTCTTCACAATTCCTTTGATGGTGTTCCTTGCTTAGATTCCGGGCCATGTCACGTAACATTAATAAACCATTGGCCGAGTAAGACAACTTGATTGACCCTGATACTAGTTCAGAAAAACAATTTTCCAAAGATTTCCACGAAATGTAAAATCCGCAATAGACAGTGCTAAAGTGTATTCCGATGAGAACAGCAGTGACCGAATTTAAAGGCCCGCCACACGGTAAAACGATTATGGTCCCCAACGAAAGCATTTGGCTCAAAAGCCTGTCCGCAAAGTAGAGGGAAAGTGGCAATGACTCGGTTATTCAAAAATAGAAGGCATCCCAAATTTAAACCCCAACCTGGAAGATCAGGAGACTGTTTGTCCCACTTTTTACCGTTGACTAACCTGGTAGTAGTTCTCAACGTGCCCTGAGGCATCACCCGGTATAGCCCAATGGATCGAAGGGTTACGCACACTAGTATCAGTCGCGTCGCGACTACAGTAGGGTCGACACCCAAGTGGTTATCAGAAAGCATTTTTCTCACTTTTATGCCAGGGCATCTCATCATAACCCTTCTTTCATCAACAAACCAAACTGTTGACTTCACAAAGTAAAAGGATCATTCATTTTTCCGTAAATAGCTTTTCCTCCTACTCTTGTTGAACCTTACTTTCTCGGAAGCATTAACAATTTCCCATATTAGACAGAGCCACTGTTCTTCGTTGAAAAAAGAAATGGCATCAACAATACTTACTTACTTCTTACTGCAAACGCACTAAAATACTGCATACCTGAAACTACTCCGATGACATTACGCAGGTTTCTGCACGTTCTCGGAGTATTAATGCTATGATGGATCTTCCACTTGGCTATTGATGATAGACTTCCTGTCAATACCCGAAGGGTTACCACTTTGCTCTCTTTGGCAGAAAAGTTATTCCTCTTTGTGGCCTGGCCGATTGGGCTCTAATCTTCTCATTTCCACGAGAACACTTTCACATACCATTTCCCTGAAGTTACCCCGATGACAGTATGCAAGATCTTTACTCTGCAATCGCAGGATCAAAATTTGCCGCTTACATTTTCTCAGGTTGGAACTTTCACTTGGATATGAATGGCTGCTATCCTGCAGCATCCGCAATATCACCAATCCCTGTTTATGACAGGGCTATATTTTAGACACGATTTCGCTATACGGTCTCATTTCTACGATATGCGACGATATAGCCGGCCAATCAGATAACGATTCTGTTCCGGTGCATGTTTCATTGTAGTCGAGACACCAATCCACTCGATAAAATTGTTGCTACGACGCCTATTGGGTTTCGAGAAAATTCCGATTTTGAAGCACAATCTCAGTCCACAATCTTGCTTTTTCGATCTCACTTATCTGCAATTTTTTCCGATCACTCTAAGCAGGATGGAATGGACATATTCTTGAGCTGAAGAGGCTGCAACGCACCTATTCAGCCTGGGCACCCACGCATAATCACCGTTATTTCTCAATCTATTATCTCATTCATGAGGAATCTTATGCTTATCGAAAATCCTGTAATAATTATGGTCACCAATGTTGCACCACGCCGCTCTGATTGGCTGTTCGGAAACCCGACCGCTCCGATTAGCTGTTCACGAATGCAAGCCTGCAGGTACCAGTTAGATAGACGCCAGACACGGGACAATTACATGGCACAGACTACCGATATTTATGGGTTTTCGATGACCTTGAACCTTCTCTGTTCTCTTCTATTATTTGCTTTCCACTAATAATAGTAGGTTGTCCAATAACATTCATTCGATCCGCCAGTGTGATTATTCAACTTGGTTTCTAGGAACGAGTTCCGAATTTGGTCCGTATAGGTTTTACTGACCCATTCTTTATGAGGTGCTCTTTATAGCTTAACTGATCATCACTGTTCATACTTGTTTAGTTCATTTCGAGGACAAACTCTTTATTCCTTTATTTACTTTCGTATCAGCTTATTGCATCCGGAATTAGTCGCCAAGATGTGCGAATAACGCTTGCTCTGGGAATTTCTCGCTTACTCTCCGTTGCTGGAAATATGGTTGAACAGTCTTGTCGCATTAGCTGTTGCTCTTACTATTTGCTTCTTTGTTTCGGTGAACATCGAATTTCAGCCCATTTATCTGCAGAGTTGACACCTGCTGCTGTTCAGTCGTCGTATGCTTCAGGTTGCCATGTTAGTGCGCGGACGCTGTTTTGATACATCAGTGTGTGCTATTAATTATTCAATTTTTTCTTAGACCGGACAAAGCAAATTGTGCCTCGTCTGCTATGGGTCACCGTGTCAGGTACATTTTGTGAGAATACCCTTCATTTGAATTCACCACGTATCCGGTATCGGATACTTTCAAGCACATTCTAATGCATGAATGGTTCTTTACTTGGTGGCCTGGTTTCATCACCGATGCATGTTGACTACATGAATCTTATCCTGACGACAAAAATGTGTCATACTTGCAGTGCGGCTATTTCAAGTCCTATGGTTGAGCACACACATTCCGTGAGCACTGGAAGCGTCGCCTCTTAACGCACTCTTGCCGTTATTTAAGCTGCTTCAAAACAGACTGTAAACAAGTTTAGTGTGTTTTCTTCATACGATTTAACTTTGAAGTTTTGCGTGACCCATTAATAGTACTACTTTGCCTTTTTAATCCGTAGACCGCCGGTAAAGCTACCCAAGCTGGACCTCCCTGGAAATCGATCCACTGCTCTTGATGATTCACACAAAAGAAAACTTCTGTGTTCTGCTACAGATGATCGACCAGATGAAAAACTGGATTCGAAGCAGGCAATCCTGAACCACCTAGAGGCGACCACAGAGGAGAGCATACAAAGCGCCCGGCTTCTCGAGATCAAGGAAAAATCCGTGACTCCCGGATCGTTATCCTCGGCGCGTAGTAGCACAGAGCCAATTGACGGGGGGGAGCAACCTAGTCGAAATGCACCCCGTTTAGTCTTCCGTCGAGGGCTGTCCTCTATTTCAACCCGTAGTTTTCGAACAGCTACATCCGATGAATAGGTGTCTGTTTTTGTATACACGTGCTTTATAAACACCATTCGCCTCCCCTACGTGTTTTTTTCGGCTTATACTGTTCCCACAAAGGATTTCCACCCTCGGATCTAGTGAATCGACCTACTCTCACAGTTTCATCTGCTGCATTGCGTCACCTGGTTTCTCTTCACACATCACTAGCTACCTTCCTGTTGTCGCCATCAATCAAGGCTCGGCTTTACGACTAGGTCTGGACAACTGATGCTCTATATCTTTCCGTCCCGTAGGTTGCCACTTTCGGTGGTTTGCAGGAATGGCACCCACCTTTTGGATGTGGTAATTGTAGTCCACAACCTCAAATTTGAACGAAAGCCCGCATCTCTCTACTCTCCTATATACTTCGCTGTCCATTGTTGTCTTGGCTGGGTCTGTAGGTAATAAATTTTCTTCAGAAGATGCTTGCGTATTTCATTTAAACTGCATCTAAGCATTGTGACACCATTTTGCTTGTGTTAGGCTTCTATCGGTTAAGTTGTTTACGGTTTGCAACAGATGTGAAACTTGAAAGCAAAACATCTAGTATTATCAGTCATGAATGGGTTAGTCATGCACGTTTTTATACAAGGATTGTGCGGGCGAACATGTACCGGGATTCAGTATCATTCGAGTGGGATTGGAGTTCTTGGTGGCCTTGTATGATCTTCTCTCCTTTTCACTTTCGGAAGGCCTCTATCACTCTCATTGATATCTTCTTTGTGGACTCTTCCGCTGTCACGTGCTTCGCGCCTCGTTTGGTGCATCAATCTTCCCTCCGAATCGCTCCAGGTCGTACACACCACGATTTACCGTTGCCTGTTTGGGTGAAAACGTTATGTTAGACTAGTCTTTACTGCTATACTTTTTGTTGGGTGCATAAGCAGATCTGCATTGTGCATAGCTTGGCCCCATGTTGCATGGCACAGGATTGTTTAAGAACTGACTAATGTTGTATCATGCTGTAATTACTTGCAAGCTACTTTATTTCCAAATTTATTCTTGTGTGGTCAGTGTTCCAACTTAGCGGTGTTACTCTAACGCTTGGCCTACAATGCAAATGTTATCGAATGCATTGCGAAAAGCGGTCTATCGTTCTCTTATCCGAGACACGAGTTCCACAACGGACGAGAATGGAGGCCAGTCTCTTTTTCACTACTTCACTAGGCGAACACCGTGGTTCTTATTATTGAACGCCGCACTTAACTGAAGCATTCTACACCTTTCACACATATTAGTTACAACAAATAAGTCAAACTCCTTGCAAAGGACACCATCGCCTTCAAATAGTGCGAACATGATAGAAATTGCGGATCCTAGACTCAGAAGTGGTTGGGGATTGTGACACAGGAATCAGTTGCAGCCTCCAGTCCTGTGAATGTCTCGGAGGCTTGTTGAACCGTTCAGGTACGAAGATTATGTGTTTTATTGGCACCAGTATGTGGTTTAATCGCCACCTTAGGTATTTGTGAGCCGTATTCGTACTCCTAGTCTTCAAGAGTTGTCTTAATTTGTGTTACTGTAAAATACTCTTATAAACTGTAGCTATTACTTTCTGTGCACTCATTGTATCCCGGTGCCACTGAATCCCCACCCGTGGCTCCATCGTGCTGCTATTATAGCCTTACTTTTTTACCAGACTTTTTTTTACCAAAGTGATATCAGTTATCCCATAGAAACTGTGTTCCTTACCTGAATAATTTCGGCTTCCGGTGACCTCTTCCTCAGGTTCTGTTCGTGTAGGTTCTTCACTTGCGTCCCATGCGAATGTTGGAATAGACCCGAGAAATGTTCTGGTCCTAAAATTATCTCTTCATATTCTTCGTGACGTGTTCGTAAGTCCGCCAACATCCTCTTAACCCTTTGGTATTCGGTCAGCGGCACGTTGCATCTGAATGGATACAAGTACGGCACTTTGTTAATAGATTCACTACCACCGGTGACTTATTCATGTCGTCGGTGTCATTTCGCCCTGCTTGACGGCATGGGATCTACCGCGCTAAGTTTGCCAACCGTTTCAGCGAACTTCTATGCTCTTGTCAGTCTCGTGTTCTTCTCAGTATTGCACTTCGCACAACCTTCAATAGTCTATCGGTCCAGAACTACTACTTGAGTCTGCGACTACTCCCAAGTCGAGACTGCACGTAAGTGAGCCGAATTTCGAATCACGGCTCTTCAGGTACCGATTTGAGGGCTCGGCTCCTAATGTTATACGAACAACTTTTGTGATTGGCGCACATGTACAACCTGTAACACTACAAAAATTTTCTCGGTTCCTTACCGACTTTCGCTCCAGCTGTTGAACCCTTCAGGATAGGTCCAGTTTTCGTTCGCCAATTATTCACGAGATCCCGCACGACTGCACTGGTCTAGATGTTTGATAGCACACTGTCTACCAGATTATCACTGCGTGGGTTTTCGCGTATCGAAACAAGTCCTTCGGCGGTCTTATTCGTAAGTTGCTGCTCACTCTGATCACATCCACTGTCCCCCTAGGTAGTTGCTGAATACACCCGAAGTTCACATCACTCCGGTGGCCTATTCTGAACAAGCAGTTCTATGCCCAAACATGAATAACGGACCAATGCTAGAAGAGCCTGCAGCTCACTGCAGGCCCTCTTCGTCCCTTTTTTACGTTTTAGCTCTCTTTTTACTTTTTATAGTTGTTTCCCTGTCACTTATTTCACTATTAAATTCATTAACTTACTTCTCTGTTCTTTCCTTCCTGTAAGGGCTTAGCAACTCATGTTCTCGACAAACTTGACTCACCTCATTAATCACTAGTTTCGTTTTATCACCCGTACCTGCACGTTCGTAGGTTGCCTCGTAGGAAACTTCTGGTCCCACCGCTTTTCCCTGCGCACCTCATGCTGAACTACACTTACCACTAGTCACACAGAATCCCCGGGGGTCTCATTGTGCACCAGTTCTTTTAACCTTAATCTTATATACAAGGTTTGTTCGCGGGACTCACAGGCTTCCAACGTCTCGCGCTTCATATATATATATATATATATATATATATATATATATATATATATATATATATATATATATATCAAAAGCGCCTAAACGCTATGCTAGGCCGTCCGGTGCCTTAAAAGTACAACGTCTTCCTACACCCCTGATCATGAACTGTACTGTCACCCACTGCTCTACTATGGTTCATATGCGTGATGTCCCCGACTATGGCAGACAGCCTGTCTGGCACAGCCACTCACCTTAAACTATATTATCGGCTGTCTTCCTGTTTCATATGACTTAACATCTGGTCAATACACTGTCCGGTGCGGTGGAAGTCTGTTCTGATGGCTCTACGCCCCATTAACCGTAATTATAACACATTGCGGTCATCACAAATGAAAAATTGTAGATCAGGTTTCACTTTAACTCACTTAAGTGAGAGCAGGTAATGATGACGTTAAAATCGTGGAGAAACAATTTCGTTTCTCTTTTGCTGATTTTTGGGGTCGGTTAATGTAGGGACTTACGACTGGACAAATTTGATCTTGCAAAGTTATACTATCGGCCTATCTACGGACATGCTTATATTCGGTAACATACGATATGTATATCATGATGCGGCTGTATTCGGATAATTTTCGCCCTTATAACTAGTGCATCTTGATGTCACGCCAATCCAGTTTGTCGTCCCCTTGTTCAAAAGCACTGTATCCGTGAACTTGGAACAACTCCAGTTCGTAAGCCTTTTGTTCAATAGCATCGCTTCTATGAAACTGTTTTGGCAAAAATCTTGTTTCTTTTTAAAAGTACCATGTAGCCGAACTTTTAATTACACCACCGACAAACGAGTGTGCCTTTGGCGGCTTTCATGCAACAGCCCTAGTTTCCGTGTCGTATCACTACTCTGTTTTTGTGGCTGGATAGATCGTAGAGCTATTTTTGATGTGTTTTCATTGCCGACAGTCAAAGATATGATTGAGAAGATACCATGGAACTGTTTTGAATTAATTCAAGCGGTCAAAATCACTTGAAGATGCAGCTTCACTAACGACAGCGTCATAACTAATGGTTTAGAGTACAATCCTGAGGTCCAGCGCCAAGTTTGTGCTGAGCGGTCCCAAGAGCGGTTATGCAAGAGTTCGTGGTGTTTCAGCTTGCAACCTAACCTACTCGGGCGATGACTGGAAAACGGTTGCCGGATTTGTTCCCCGTTTGTTTGTAGAAACTTGTCACCGATCAAGGAATCTAGGCGGTAAATATAGTGAAGTCTTTGAAATGCATCAAAACACTGGTTATTCCCTCCGGTTCTGCATCTGAGGTGGGGCGTAAAACAAACACAATGGACCGGTTTCATCGTTGCGTGAGTGGGAGGGGGTTAAGCGTGCGATATTCTGAGTGTTGTGAATGGAGTGAGGTACGTTGGGGGTAAATTGTAAGCTTGCTGATGTGGTAACCTCTTTTTTAAGGTACTCTATTCAGTAACTTATTAGCTGACTTCTCGAAACCTAGAGTATATAAACCTGGACATCAGGATGGCAGATGAGTGCTTTTACTAACTGCGACTACGGGAATTTATTGCCTCTGCTCTCCATGAGTACGTCGATTGTCCAGGTTCTCTTGCTATTTGAGGGGAAGGGCAGGTTGGAGATTGTCGTTCTTGTGTATCGTAGCCCCAATCTACGCGAGTGGAGGAATAGGAGCTTAGTAACGCTCAGACAGGTAGCGGTAGCTGCACCCAACTTTATGGTCACTGATGATTTAGGAGTTCCACATCCAAGTATGGAGGATACTGCTAACGTAACGGACTTTGAATGCGGAACTCGTGGAACACGTACACTTGAATGCATTTGTCCAGCGCTACGTTTCCGACGAAAGACGTAGTAGGTGTGTCCCATCAATTTTAAATCTCATGACCAAATGTGATATTTTGACAGAAACGCATTCGGCGACTCCCAAGTGCAAAGGCGATTTTATGCGACTTACCTTCTCGCTGAATACGCAACAATCTTCAGTAAAACCTCTTTTTGGTAACAGCGTTTGTCTGCTGGACCTTATTTGGTTACAAAATTGCGCCATAAGAATCTACTTAGCTTCTGCTCATGGGTAAAGTGTAGTAGGACAAGCGAAACTTGTTAAGGTATATAATCCTTTAAATTCTGTGTTGCTTGTTTATATCCTCGGTGTAACTGTGTTTGATGTGAATGTTGACAAGGTGCTTACCCTCCACCTCGATTACTGGTTCCAGGAGACCGTTAATTTTTTGCTGGGAGTTGGGTGCACCTTCCTCGTTGCCGTACTGGGCTCAAAGAGTGGTTCCATCCAGTGTGGGGCGGACTACGGCCGACACACTGTCTTATGCACGTCTGGTACGCATGATTCCCAAATTAGATGGACAGGAATGCTGCTGCTATGCATGTTGAAGGAGTGTTGACCGGTTCCCTTGAAACGTAGGTCCCATCTACATGCCTCTCGGTTTTATTCCTTCGGGTTTACACTGAATATGGGTTGTGTGGGTGGCGCAGCGCAAGTCATTCATGGTCCCTCAGTTGGCGTAGACATCCGCCGTGTTAGGCACATAAAAAGCCGATGTTGCCACTCTAGTAACGCTTTGCCATTAATACTGCATTTGTTTGAGTGATATACTTACATTGAGCGGGGAGAAAAACAACAGCCGTATGATTTTATTCACGGGAGTAAGGCTTCACAACAGGTTCGCATTTAGCGTAGATCTTGCCGTTTCCGAGAGCTTCCAAACAGGTGTGCTCGTCGTCCTTGTGTCCCCAGCCCGGGAATCGAGAATGCCCGACCACGACCAAGTTTGAGATTAGCGCCTTCATGCTTTAGACCCAAGTCTCGTTTTCTTTCAACCGACCTCTGCGCCTGCAATGAAGGAACGGTGATGTTCTGAGCTGGCCTGCGAAGCACGTGCCAAAGCCATCGTAGCCTGCGTAATTTCATTATCTAGTTCAGCGTTCGGCCGTCTTCTTGACCCGAAAATTCTTCGACGAATGTCGTAATTACTAATGTGGCGTTGCTATCATATATTAGCGATGATCAAAAACAGGCATCATCTGCGCGTCTTTTATGTGAACAGGGCCAAGTCCCTCAACCATGGAGCAAGATCTCTCTCACCGTAGTATTGTATATTCGGCTCTTCATACAGAGACTGAAGTCGCGTCGATGTTAGATATAGCGGAGATTTACGAAAGCAACCTGGGCCTTAGAGACGCGCAAAGAGGCCTCATCCGTTAAACCGTTGATACTGATGCAGCTCCCGATGTAACCATCTTGTCTACCACTTCTAAAGGACAACCAGAACAAGTGAGAGAAAGAGCAGTTTCTAGGCAATCCTGCGAGAAAACCGTAAACCTCGGTTGTTCGAAGAGACAGACTGTTCCAACCTACACAGTACATTTTTGGCGACCTGTGAGGAATCGCAAATTAAGGCGATGTCATCTGCATGCTCCAGATCGCGCAGTTGGTCTTCCAGAAGGAGCTCAACACCACTGGATTCACAGTTGTTCACAGCACTTTCTAAGATGTCGTTCATAGCCAAGTTGAACAAGAATGTCGATCCTGAGCAGCCCTGTCTCACGCCATTAGTGATACTGAAGAGGAGCGAAAGTCCTCCGGACACCCTCACACGGCCCAAGCTTCGAGAGTCAATGGCTTGAAGATTGTTAACGTACTTCTCAGACACTCCCCAACGGACATTTCTAGAAAGAAGTTCGGTCAACTGCATCAGACGCGGCTCGTATGCCTAAAAATCCAACGATCGTTAGCCATCCGAGCGTTTGACGACGCTCGAGTATCTGATTCGTCGTAGAGATGTGATTAATAAAGCTCTGGTCAGAGCCGAACCCGGTTTGCTTTTCGCGTATGTGCTGTTCGTGTACCAGGCGGTGCCTCTTTAAAGACAGGGTGACAAGAATTTTGGACGCACGCAAGTTAGACTGCTCATTCTACCTCTGTTGCGGTTTGCCGGGCACCCTTTTGAAACTGAAAACGATTTCCGCCAGGCTGCAGTCTGACTGAATTGCCCTTGGATGAGGGAGGTTAGTTTTTGTACACCCAATGGGTGTCCATCATTGTATAAAACTGGAGGGAGTTCGTTTGAATCAGGGGCTTTGTAGTGCTTCAGGAATCAAAGCTCATTAGCAGCCTCAGTCTCAGATGGCGTTGAAGCGTCTACACACCAGTGATACCTATTGATTCAAACCTGCGAAGTCATTGATACTGCATGCTGACTGGGCTGCTACTCGAAGTGCTCAGCCTAACGCATAAGTCAACATTGTTGATAGTGGATTGACTCGTCATTGGTTTCGCACAAACTTCGCTTGCAGTCGGCTTTTTGTCTCCGGGGAATGAAATCAGAAGGAAAAGCTCGCGGAAATTCTTCGCAGTGACCGATTGATCCATCTCGATGATCCGATATGTCAATCAAGCTCCGCGATCCTCCCGGAGGAGTTCCCTGAGCTCAGCCTTGGCGGTATTGCGTAGCGAGTGATACTCAACACCAACGGGATTAACTCAATGGGCTCCGAGAATCTGCAGCGATCATGCGGATGTCCAGTGATTAACAAGGTTACTAGTGAAATCACAGACCGTTTTCCCAGTTGTGGATGGACCTACGGATGTGCGTCCGACGTGTTTTAACCTCTGAGCACAAACCACTCTTGAGGCTTGAGGCCAACGCATCCTGAAAAGCACTCAGAACATTTATGGTAGTACGCTAAGCCACGTCCATCCGTTTCCGGCGACGCTGTTGGATGTCTTCAAAACGTAGCGCTGCCTTAGTACACACGGGCGCATTATCCGAGGTGACGTGTGTACACTAGCTTGAGTCTCAGTCCTGTATGCATCCCGCTTACGGTAACTGATAGTGATGCCGTCAATTTTCGTCCACGGTTGACCAAGTGATTGGGTCTCCAGATGGCGCGTTGACGCTAGGATCGTCAAAGTTGCTATTTCGAGAAATGAGATGTGGTCGACGCAGATCTGATCTAAGCGATCACCAGATACCATGGTCATGTACATGTCCGTCAACTTTAAGTCTGCTGACGCACGTTTTTGTCTCCGGAGAGCACTACGATGTCCGTGTGGCCCTTTTTTGGAGAAGGTCTAAGAGTTGACAGTAGAGCTCATTTTCAACTGAGTAAGGTCTTCGCCTCTGTATGCACACGGAGCTAAAAGGATCCCCGCCGAACAATTCAGTACAAAGTTTTATTTCGTTCCGTACATGCTCCACTTCTCCAGATTGCTGTTTCGTAATCGAAGGGATTCGCTTTCATTCATTGTGCTCACTGTACATCCATGCAAATTGGTCGATTGGTTTACTTATCATCACAACGTTTTCTGCATGGTGCTGCATACGTGCACGGCTGCCTGCAGCGTTGACTACTTAAGGAGATTGCAGGATATATTTGAAGGTTAACTACCACAACACCTTAATACGGCTGCTGTCACTACACAGTTCGGAGCCATGGTCATTTCACACATCGATAGTGTAGCCATTTTCGGTTTATGTCTCCTACGCCACATCCGGATAGAAGACCGCCTGACAGCTTGCGTTTGACCCATGTTTGTTCATTGGACTACCCGTTGAACTTTGACTGCGTTAAGTTGATCTCTTCGTATCCCTGTCCTCGTCGTATATCGGCGCTGCATCTGGTCCAATGGAATGATGCTGATCGTAGTATTGGATCTCACCGATATGTATCATGGTCGGGGATATCTTTGTAATCCGCCACATTGGGGATTATTGACATCGTCCGTCCTTGTGACGTTACAAAGTATATTGTACTCTTACATTAATTTAATAGATCGCCATTTCCTCCTTCACGTAGTTGCCATAATTTGCTATCTGTTTTGCTTCTTTTATGCTCAACTAGTCTCTCGTTGCTCTGCTCAAAGGTCTTATCTGTCAAGCTACCTATCTATAGCTTGGTGGTGCAGCTGCTTTGGTTTGTTTAACTCGTTCAAAGATTGGTATGCTATATTCTTGTCGGCTAAGCGTTTGTTGAGTAACCTATTACACAAGTAGCTTTTGTGAGTCTCCATTCATGTACCTCGGATTCTGGCATTACGGAATATTTATAGAATCACGTCACAAGGTCTTACCGCAGTATTTGGTTTTCCGCTTTTAGTTTTTCCAGTTCACTTTGCTGACTGTTGAGGCTTTCTCTCAATATTTGCACTCGTTCATAATGCACCCGTTTTTTCTGTGGCAGTGAGAAGGAATAAATACAACATCCATCCAAAGTGATAATCATATCTCCAGGTTTATGGCTCTGCAAGTTTAATTATTAATGTTTGGCACTTCGAACCAACTAAGTACCGCGACATAGTCACTGTTACCTGTTATCAACAAATCGTGTTAGTTTTTTTCTGTTTTCTCTCTTATCTGGTGCACAATCGGGCTTGTATCGCCAATTCACTGATCAATTTGGGGTTAGAGAACCTGCACTGCAGAAAGGCTCAAATCTGCGGCGTTCGCCGGAATGACAACCCCGCCAGCTCTCGGATACATGTATTTAAACTACGCTATACTCCTTTTGTTATATCAACATGAGTCGCTTAATTATGGTCTCTAGGTGTGTACATCGTTGGATCATACCAAATATACTACAAAAGCTAGTGTGTATCGTTGAAATTGGCTTTCGGTGTCCCTAGTATGGTGTGGTCAATGGTATATTGCGAATAAAATAACCGAAGTTCCGCATGTCCCGTCGGGTGCTCGGTGAGGGCTTTCAAAAACGGAAAGACTATTATAAACTATAATCAACTGAAAACCAAACTTGCCGATCAAAATGTTATCCATGTAAATCCTTCACATATGGTTTTATGCAATTTGAAATATTACTGCCTTTGGTTTTCCCAGAAAAATGTGTGTGTGTGTGTGTGTGTGTTGAGTTCATGTGATGTGGTAGAATGTGGCAGGAAGTAACCGTCCAGCTCACAGCTGCGAACCTTGGTGAGATTGCATGTGGCTTTATCCCTCCCGTTGTAATTGAATACTGCGAATCGCTGGATGTTTCGCTTCTTACCTTTCCGGTTTTCTACCAGTATCTTTCTTCACCGCCTCCAACGCATTTTACCACAATCGACGGGGCTCGTGATTAGTCCGGTCGGTCGGTACCAAGTCTCGTTGCGCACACACTACTGCAAGATCAGCTCAATCATGCTTTCATCTCTTTGGTCTGATTTCATATGCATTATTACAACGATGCAAGGTATTTGAACAGTGCCTGTTTTCCCCATAATACAATGCGGTGGTCTCTCAAAATTACTTTTGATAAAGTCGACTCTCGATTACGTTGCAACTTGTCCACAGCCACCAGTATAAACCATAGCCAGAGGTGTGCATTGACATACTGATTCAGACCCCATTGACAACGGTTCCGCAGCTTTTATGCACTAAATCTATCAGAACAGGTGGCTCGACATCGGCTTACCAAAATGATCACTCCAAAGTTCTACCGTCGAACTGTGAGTTCACTGACCACGGTTTTCACATGATCATGCACTTTTTAGTACTCTTGTTATGTTAGTGTACTCAGTCACTGTTACTAAACATTCTTATTGAGTGTGATTTAAGTTAAGTCCTTGCGAGCGATGGAATTCTTGCAGCAGCGTAAGCGTCAGCACACTTTCTTGGCGATACAATTTACCTTGTAATTACCTTAGACATCACTGGAAAATACTCAGATGTAACGGGAGTAATCCAATGATTACTGTGTTGAAACGCTTCACAATGCACGAAAGTGATAAAGCTGCTCTCATATGTTCTCTATTTCTCATCTGAAGTATACGTGCGGTTCGAATCATACGTTCAGCGAATTGTGTCACGGTAAGTGAACTACGAGTAGCATCAGTGCTGAAGCTGCTCCATGCGATTAAGACAGCGAAATTATTCCCCTCTGACTCCGAAAGCCATGTTCGCAGTTTATCCTCATTACAATACAAGTTTCACCTCATTGCATTTTTTCTCACTGGGCGTGAAATTCTGTTGTCCACGAAATTACAATGAACAGTGGGATTTAGAGGTTTAATGTGAGAACTTTTATTTGCAAACAGCCACCATTGCACCGGCATTACTCGCGTTTGCAAGCTTGGTACTGTTAGGTCTCGAACAGCCTACTCTGCGGAAAATCGCGCTGGCGAGGAACCAAGTCGAGTTGGCGTCACTGAATCAGGCCGTGAGTTCTTCCCCACTAACTGCACGAATGGTTCAGGCAGCCGCAAGTCGGGAACACATTGCTACATAAGGTCTTCACTTATACAAAACAAGGTTGGCCAAAGCACTGCCCTGACAAATCGTTTGCACAGTTTTTCACACGACGTGATTCTCTGTCTGAAGTCGATGCGTGTCTCTTTTTGCAGATCGCCTTGTCATTCCCGAAGTACTCAGGCAACGAGTTCTGAGGCAATTGCATGAAGGTCACCTAGGAATCGCCCGAATGAAAGCACTCGCGCGCAGTTACGTGTTTTGGCCCTCAATGGATAGCCAAATAGAAGACATTGGACGATCCTGTTCTAAATGCTGCAGTGTTTCCAAGTTACCAGTGCGCACAACATTACAATCTTGGCCGCGTCCCGAATCACCCTGGTCGCGAATACATGTGGACTTTGTGGGACCAGTTGAGGGAACTTACTTTCTCGTCATAGTCGATGCATACAGTAAGTGGCCTGAAGAAATACGTCTCCAAACAGCACAATTCTTGCACTGAAGCGTGTTTTCGGCCAGCATGGGCTGCCACAAACGATCGTATCAGACAATGGATCACAGTTCACTCCCTATCGATTCGCTGACTTTTGTGCACAAAATGGAATCCAGCATATGAGGACTGCACAGCATTATCCCCAATCCAATGGCCAAGTAAAAAGGTATGTTGATACGCTGAAACGTGCTTTGTTAAAATCGAAGGGGGAGGGGACCCTGAATGAAAGACTGGAAAATTTTCTGCTAAATTATCGAGTTACTCCGAATCCCAACGCACCAGATGGAAAGTCACCCACTGAAGCCCTCATGGGTCAAAGACTGATAACCACGCTAGGTTTGATGACTCCAAAACGCCCACCGATACATCATACGAATTCACTGATGGAAAGTCAGTACAATAAGCGACATGGAGCACTGCACATAAACTTTAGAAATGGTGACGCAGTGTTTGCTGCCTCTCATCAAGAGCGTCAAATCAGTTGGATACCAGGTCAAGTAGTAGGACGACGCGGAAAAATAATGCACAATATTCGTGTTGGCAGACAGCTATGGGTTCGCCATGCGAACCAACTACGACCGCGGATTACAAGGATATAAGAGGCGCACCATTCCGTAGGATTTGCGTTCAATGAATTGTTGTACACTTCGCAGCCAAGCACCTCGATTAGACAGGATACACAACCCATGGAACGAGCTGAAAATGAAAACCAACTAAGGCCAACACGGAGAAGATACGTGCAGCCCATGCAAGTAGACCCCCGAAGGAAGATATATACCAATACCAGTTCAACTATTTCAACAAGGATGAGGTGTTAGGTCTCGAACAGCCTACTCTGCGGAAAATCGCGCTGGCGAGGAACCAAGTCGAGTTGGCGTCACTGAATCAGACCGAATCTTGTAACATGCAAAGAAAACCGAATTTCACACAGAGCAAAGTCGAATGCGCACAGAAAACGAAACAAATCGAATTGTTCAGAAGGTAAGTGCGCAATTTCCTACAAGCAACTGTGTGCCTTTTATCAGGACAGTCTCAGTTACAAGCAAATAGTGTTTTTCCGTGTTACAGAACATGTGTTACAATTTCACGGTTCACAACACTCACACGTCCCTTAGTTCTTGAGATCTATAAAATCAAACGAGCAAACAACCGTGATTCGAACTGTATCAGTGTGCTTCATCCCACGTGGACCTGTTCTGTGGTTGGCAATATACTACTCGTTTGGCGGTTGTCTTCTGATCTCGTGGGGGGCAACTAGGAAGCTGCTAAGTCGAGTTCTGAGGACACAACAGATTTCTGGCGATGGAGGTGGGATTTCTCGAACTGCACCTGCTGTTGGTGGAGGAGTTGCTGCATCTGATCAAAAGAAATGGCCATTGTCTAACACCTCCGTCGCAGTTGTTCGACTTATTCGCACAGAAATTGAACTTGAAACCAGAATCCCAAGATGTTAGCGCACGGATCTCAGTAGACGGAGTTACAGCATCCATTACGGAGTTCATTTTTGATGAATCAAACGGAGTGACTTTTGAATCCTGGTTTAAACATTACAAAGATATTTTTGCGTTGCATTGGAGGCATAAGATGATGCATGGAAAGTTCGGTTGTTGTTGCGCAAACTCGGTGCAGTCGAACATGAACGGTACACGAATTTTGTGCTGCCAAAGAGCCCTAGAGACTTCCGTTTCGATGAGACGGTGACAATACTGAAGACTATTTTCGGTGAGCAAGCATCTTTGTTCATTATTCGTTATCATTGTTTTAAGTTGGTCAAAGGTGATACTCATGACTATATAACACATGCTGCAGTTGTGAATCGAGAGTGTGAACGTTTCAAACTGGGTATGATGACACCTGATCAGTTTAAAAGCTTCATATTTGTTTGTAGTCTTCAGTCTCACGCTGATGCTGACGTACGTACACGTATCCTGCATAAGTTAGAACAGGAACCTCATTTGACATTACAGGACATTGTTGCTGAGTGCCAGAGACTGATTAATCTAAAGCACGATACCAAAATGATTGAAAATGCTCATCCTAGGAATGAACCGCAAATTTATCACACAGCTGTTCGCGGTAAAAATGTGAGCCATAGAGTCCCGAACCAGAAACTCCCAACTTCCTGTTGGAACTGTGGTGGATGGCATTCCGTACGTTTCTGTTCCTATAGGAAACATCTCTGTCAGAAGTGCAAACGCCTTGGTCACGATGACTCACATTGTCACACCACCTACAATTCTAGGACTGTCTGACCCTAAAGTGCACACGAACTAAATCCAAAAAGACGTTTAGCGGAGCAATGACAAAAGTAGTTCTCGCGACCTGTCGCACAGAATTTGCCGGCAAGCGAAATTAATAATGTTCCCATATCGTTGCAACTAGATACGGCATCGGACATTACCACAATTCCTCGATCATCATGGATGAGACTCGGTAGACCACCACTCAGACACACAAATTTGACCGCCCAAAATGCATCCGGTGAACCACAGAGGTTAGAT